CATCAGTGGTTGTCACCGGGATCTGTTCAAACCGTTGTCTGATGTTGTTTGCAAGTTTCGCTCTCGTATCCGCCGAAGATAATGTTTCCCGTTTGATGTTTTGGTTGCTTCTGCCACCAGATCTTCGTATGGTACCCCATTTCTTACAGCGCAGCGTTCTGATACCAAGACTGTGACTAGTTGACAGCTCCTCGCCTCTCTTAGCACGAACTTCAAATACGATTATCAGATCGATCATCGACTTCTGTGCACAAGCTTCCCTGTAAGAGGTATACCGATGAACGCTTTGATGCTCGAAGAAGGTGTTCATAATGGACAGTCCGTTGTTTGCACAAAATCGCAACAACTTCATGCCGTTATTGTTGAGGTCGCTAGAGCTGTTCTTTGGAATCAGGCCTTTCCAGTTTTCAGTATCTACTCCGAAATGCGCTTAAAAATCGCCCATTAGAATGAAGATTCCGTATTTGGCACTTTATTTATAGCACATTCCATTTCCTTTAGGACGGACTCGTATTCTTCCTCCAAATTGGCCACATAGGCCTGTAACCGAATAAAAGCTTTAGCCTCTTGTAGACTTAGTCGGAGTATTGCCACTCTTCCGCTGACACGCTTCTATTCAGTGATTCTGTCAGCCAGGTTGGGTCCTACCAGAACACCAACATCGGCTTGATCGCGCATCGTTATGTCGACCCCCCCTCCAGTGTAGAATTGTTTCCACTAGTTTGGTTCAAGATTCCATAGTTCAAGATTCTTGCGTTTCGTTCAGAACAGTTCAACCGTATCGAGTCAGTAGCTTGACGCCTAATCTACTAGCTCAACGTTACTCTGAGTGATGTTCCAGTTTCTGCTGTTAACAACCACTGTCTGTATCGTTCTCGTTGAGCTTTTTTGACGTGCTATAATGGCATCGCCCTGTCTGCTTCTTCCGTTCAGAGCGGGTTGCGACTCCATTGCTGATTCGTACCTTCATCGTTGTTCTGTCGATCTTCGGCATCCGTTGCTACTTAGCTCTTGGCTGCCAGAAGGCGATGAGCAGTTTCTGATGGCCAACTTTTCGCAGCCTGCCTCTGTCACCCAACAATCAGCGCAGCCATTGGTGTCCCGAGCGACGATCGAGGCGGTATGATATTTCGATCACGGAAATACCGCGAGGGGCAGGTGGCTAAGTTTTACGAAGACTAACTACGGTCTCAAACCCTCCACTTTTCTCAACCCTCCAGGCTTGGAACCTGTAACGGCTGAGTTATTTACCATTAATTATTGATGGGAACGGTAATAATTTCTTATCACTGATTCATTATTATGCGTACAGTAATATACGCTATATTATAATACGTTTTGCTATTTGCTTGTGTTAGTTTTTACGTTCTACCGTAACTGCTCCACAATGTAGGTGGTTGGTGGCTGAAGTCTTAAGTAGTTCTTTACGTGACTAGGTTGACAATAGCTCTCATAGAAAGTTTTACTACAGTGTATTTATGATTGTATAGTATTGTAGGATATGAAGGAAAATAATGATAGTGATTTCTGTGATAGTCGGAAACTTGTCAGAGTTTTTACTTTGAAAATAATGAAAATTTATTTTTGATTTATGAAATTTCACCTTGCAAACAGTTTTCAGCGAATGAATTATGTTCATAAATTGATAGATGTGTACTTATTAAAATGACATTCTTTCTGTGAATTTAAGTTCTGCGTAAAAGCGGCAATTCAGTCACTCAACAACAACGGTTTATTTTTTTAACGAATTGATAATTTTGCTAGAAAATGTGTCATTAACGCGGTTGTTACATTCAAGCCTAGACTGCTGTCTTGAATCCTGGTAAGATTCTTTTACTTATGGTTATAAATTGTCATGTCATTTCTCCGGGTTTACAGGGCTCAGCGCGCCATCCCCTTGCTTCGAGTGGCCTAAGGGATCGTTGCAGCAGGCCATAACTCCATGGTATTTTAGCGCTTGCAGTGCGTGGATGCAAAAACAGCACCAGTTTATTGGATCGAACGAGAACATGTTCGAATACCAACGAATATACTTCAGTCCGTGGCACATGCGAATATGCATTCGCGTATACCAAAAATAATTCTGCTCTACACACACGTCGTGTTAATCCGGTGAAGTGACAGGACAATGTTATTCTTACCGTCAGTATCGAGAAGTAGAAGTTTGCTATCAAACTTATAATAATGGGGTTTATTTTTGGCTCTTATGCTTAAAGATATTTTGTTTCTGTGACACGTACATCTGACGTTATTACAGTTTAAAATCGTTCAACCTGCGTAGCAAACTGGCGATCATTATACAAGATTTTGCCATGTTCTGTATGCTGAGTGTTCTGCCGTTCTGTGGTTTTCCCGCCGGTGATATCTGATCTAGGCTGGTTTCACTTCGACTACTGTTATATTTTTTCTCAGAGGCTTTCGTAACGTTTGGTTATTTGTCCACTGTAATCCATATGTTCCAGCTTAACGACTATTGTGTAGCTTTTATTTGAATGCTCGTCACAAAAGAATATGAGGTAAGCCGATTCAGAGGACAAAAGCATTTCTAAAGGGATTTTGTAGACGAACAAACCTAAGTGATTATAAATGGGTTCTGGCGAAGAATGTCGCACAGGGTTGTCGTTCAGCTTTGATTTTTAAACATGCAACATACAACGCGACGTAAGAATTTGTTGTTAACTGCCAATTCCATTGAGCAGTGAATCGGCCTCATTGTGTTTCGGTGCAATCATCTGAATGATGAGGATGGACAGATCGATGACCTACGAATAACCCGCTGGCAGCGTGGCATTGTTGTATGGTACTGCCGAAGCACAGGAGACTGATGACAATGCTGTCTGATACTTTCGCTTTACGGCTACGATTCGGTGTCACTCACCTGGTAGTTGGCTAAGGCATGATCAAGAGTAGTCTGTAAATGAATAAATGAAATATGTGGCAAAGAATTCATCGTTTAGCAACTGGGCCATGTTAAGCAGTTAGACTGCGCATTTGTGATTCGTTGTACTCATGACAGGCATGTTTTATTTGTTTGCTGATTTTAGAGTTGCTGCATTATTTTGGTCATTCAGTTATATTGGTTTCAATCGTTGGCAAAAACCAACGCCGTCGCCAAGTTCAATCGCATGGTAATTTTACGTTTAGCATTCGGAATGGTTAGAGATTCAATATTTGATGATTTAGTTTGTGTTTTTTGGCTGTGCCGGCGTCACTACGTGGCTCATGGGTAGTCTGATCCAGTTGATTCGATGCCGCGAAGTCGGCGGATATCTTTTCAAGAGCACTTGGATCCACGCCGCTTTTATCGTCGATTACGTCATGCTGTTTGTGGCCAGTGTGTCTTGCTGTTCGTTGGCACGCCCAGCCCTAAGACTGATCGTAAAAGTTTTTTTTGTTTTTGGTTTTATGCTTTAGTCGAACAGTGAACTCCGTGCATCACCTCCGTCTACAGACGCTAATGAACGTTCAGTTCCGCTTCTGTCAGTCAGGTTCGAGTCCCGTCTCCTCCTCCATTTTAGGGCCCATTACCCGAATCTCTGGGTTCATGTTTCTCCATTCCGGTTTGGTATTCATATGACGTAAAGTTGCGCCCGATTCGCTTCATTCATTAGATCATCCGGTTTTTAGTGAGTATTTTGTTCGTGCGTTGGTGATCTTGCTGAAACTGAAAAATATTTACAAACCGTTTATTTATACACAACGTAAGTAAATTGATCAAATCCAGCCTAAAGGGTTGTTATTTTCAGAGTTAGTTAATAAAGTATTAAGTTTATTGGAACTTTTGTGTATAACATTGATATTGTGTTTGGTGTAAAGTAGTTTTTGTAATTTGTCCCTAAAAGTTTTGTGATACGGTAGAATTGAGCAAGCTTTATGATAAATTTTATGATTTTAAAAGTTGTTTCTTGGAATATCGGTGTTACGGGTCGATTTAAAACAAGTAATTCTACGATTTATGATCATTAACGAACAGTATTAACATTTTAACGCGTAAAGTTGTCTTAATGTCATATTTCTTCTTTAAGTGATTCATTACTATAGAGTTAAGAGCTCTGCCTGTTAAATATTAATTAATTTAATAATTTTTTATTGATCGATTTGCTAGCTTCGTGTGTCAATAAACCGCATTTTATGCATTTTTCGCTTTTTATTCGACCTTTTATGATATTGTACTCTAGATAGTGAAAGCATGTTATACTCTTAGTTATATACTAGCAAATACGATAGGGTAGTATGTATCATGTGCATCATTTATATTGGTCAGTAGTTTGTTATTATGCTATTGGTTTTAAGGGGACTACTTTAATTCTTTATGCAGGTGTAAAATTCGTCCTCGCCAAAATCTTCAGAAGGCTTACTCTGCATACAAATTTTATTGTAAAATGCTATTGGTATTATTACTATATGATGCAGTTAATTTTGCGGTGTCACAGACTGCTGCGTAGTGCGTATTATTTACATTTTCTGTGTGATATTCTACTAAACAGTAGCTCATGCTACTAAAGTGCTTGTGCTGCTAGTGTGTGCACTATCAGTTGTATAATGACATGCACTGTATATACACTCTACAATATACGTTTATGCTACTCACCAGTTAGTGCTATTATGCCATTACTAGAAATCTGTGATGCTCGTAACAATCTAATAACGCACTATACCGTTGAATGTATACACAGTCTGTAAGGTATAATTGTGCCTTAGAGTATTATGTAATTATGCTTCTGTTAATCGAAGTAATTGGTATTGCTGTTTGTGTAAGAGCATCATTAGAAGCATATTCATATATTACTTCATTGTATAATAATACTACTTACGGACATTGTACTTTTACAAATGTGGTATTATATTACTAAGCGTATCTTTCTGTTAGTAGCATGAAATAGTTAAAAATGTGCATCATATGCCCAGCCTATAATACATATGTATCAGACGTCTTATTATTTAGTGTAGCCAAATATCTCTCTGCATATGATGCATAGTACAAACCTGTTTATGTTGCTATACTGGTAGAGATATTATATACTTCTGTAAGGTTAGCGTTCATTTATTTGCTATAATTATCCTGTAGAATAGCGTAATTCTCACAAGTTTACTTTATTAATGTCAGTAATGGGTCATGATGATAGTAGTAATAATACATATCATGACGTAATGTGCAATCGCTTGGCCCGTCGCTATTCGACGACGACTCGCGCTGACCGTGACACTGTTTTTTGTCAAACGCTTGACGTTTTACCATCCGCTGGCAGGGAGAATTTCATATACGGGTCCCCAGTCCCATCAGGATTTTATTGTCGAAGTTGTATCTTTTTGCCTTTGACGAACCGCCGACGTCTAACCTCAAGACAGCATTGATATTCGCGGTCTTTCTTCAAACGAGAGGGTAGCTTTTTCCTCCACATGAGACTGTAATTGTTCATTGTGACATTTTCTCTGAGAATCGAACTTGGCGAGTTCGAATTCAGCCAAGCCCTGGTGGTCCCATTGTTGCTTGTCTGCGACTGCTTATTTTTCGCAACTAACCGCATTATCTATAGGTAGTTCTCCTGTCCGCAACTCGGAGACCTTGGAATGCGTAATTTGTCCGGTTCGTAGCGTATAATATAAATGGATTTTACGCCCTTGTCTAAGTTGCTATGTTTCTACTAATGTACTAATATGGTGCTATTACTAATATTTTAAGGACATATCGCGTAGTGTAACTCTGCGTGCGATCATAATAAGCACAAGTTTATTTTATTATACTACTAGTATCAGAAGTTTATGGTACTATTAGTAGAATAATTTTAGCTTATGCATCATGTATCTTACTCGGTCTCTACTATATAGTTATATTATTCTAGGTTACCATAATACTGTTGTTAATGTACTTATATATCAAAATAATACTGATGGCTTACTGACATAGCCTGCTGCGCAGAGTGTATTGTATAAACATTTTGCAGGATGTTTATGCCACCACTCACGAACTAATGTTATTATTCTACTAATAATCCAAGTATATGACGTAGTAAATTGTATAATAACATAAACTGTTGTGTAGCATGTTTGATGTTGTTGCATGTTACTACTAAATAATTGTTTATCTTATATTACTACGAAATTAATACCCTCATACTCTTATTAGTAGATTGACATAAACTCTTTTACATACATATACATACATTATATATATATATATATATATGTACTCTGAAGACGGACCGAGTTTGGTCCGAAACGTCAGATGTCTCTAATTAAAGAACATTTTATGC